TTTTTTTTGTAAACTTATTTTCCATATTAAATAACATTTACCTGCATAATAATCATCGATTCCTAATTATGTGACACAGTTAAGAAAGCTAAACCGATGGGACTTTACAATGAAATCTCAATGTGTGTTTATGTAATCTCATTTAATACCCACTTGAAAATTAATTAAGCAAATTATTTTATAACCCTGAAATAACTTGAAAATCAATTAAGCAAATTATTTTATAACCCTGAATTAACTGCCTACTATCCATATACATTTATTGCACCAAATAGCACTGTACTGCATTGCTTTCAAAACAGAAAACAATTACGATGGTTTTCCAACACAAGCTGCACTTCAGTCTTTTCAGTAAGGTTGATTATCATAAGTAACATGGTTTTCCCTTAATCGCTATCCTGGCAGCAGTGTCCAAAATAGGGTTTTCTTCAACTTTCATGCAATATAACATAATACTTAACAGCAATAAACCATCACTTTTTTTATAAAAAAAAAAAAAAAAGTTTCATGGATATTCAGAAAATGTGATATGGAAAGGTCTCCAAGGACATGGAAGTTAGGGTCACACATTCAAAATGCCAAAATGTTAACAAGAGATAACTGTACTGAAATGATTTTCTTTTCATTTTCAACACCTTTTTTACATAAAACAATGATCAATTTACTGTCATTTTTAAATGATCAACTAGGAAAATTGTTGACATAGGAAAAATATCAATAGAACAATTTATAATGTCCAATTAGCTCCATTTGGAGATTCTGAACATAGTGAATGATTGAATCTGACGAACTGCAATGATGAGTTCCTTTCCATTTTTGATACTTTATTACACAATGCACGATAATAGGTTTACCGTCATTTTTATATAATCAACTAACAATATTGTTAAAAAGCAGAAAATGTTAAAACAACACTTTTACATATCCAATTAGTTCCATAATGAGACTGTTAACATGCTTAAGAATTAAATCTGAAGAAAAACCACTTATATACAAAAAGGCTAATAACTTCATCAAAACTTAACTGATCAAGCTTATTTTCAAACTTGATCTGTATACTGGTCAGATT